GACAGAAGGGCTGCAGGGGCGGGGGTGGTGGGGCCATGGGGCAGAGGGACCTTTGCTTTGTTGTGCTGTCCAGATGCCATCTAACCCCTGTCTGACGCTTTCTCCCCAAGGTTATAAAATCCCTGTTATTGAGAACTTGGGTGCCACTTTGGACCAGTTCGATGCAATTGATTTCTCTGACAATGAGATCCGTAAACTGGATGGGTTCCCTCTGTTGAGAAGGCTGAAAACTCTTCTGATGAATAACAACAGAATTTGGTAAGTGGTTGTACTTCAGCCAGATGGGCAGTGGAAAATGCTCTAGGGAAGCAAAGAATCCCGAGTGTGTGTCCATCTTTCAGTGGCGGGTGGTTGTAGAAGACCTGTTTGTTTCAATGAAAGAAATTGGCACCCAACAGCACGGAGTACTCTTGAAGGCCTGTTCAATTTGCCTGCTTCGTGCATTGCAAAAATCTGTCCAAGATCAGTATTCGTCTTTCAGACAGGACAGTAGGAGGTAGAACTTGGAATTTGCCCAGAGCCAGAGACTTGGGAGCTCGTTTGTCATCCCTGTGCTTAGGCGATAGCAAAAATAAATCAAGCTGTCCTAGGGAGACTGGGGATACCTGCAAGTGCATGCATATGTTGCATCTAATGTTTTTATGTTGATGCCAACCCAAACTTCTGATAGTGTCAGACTTGGTTGTTTTAAAATTAGGTACTCTAGATTACAGTCTTTCTATGCGTCTTTGCACTGTTGTTAGTTTCCAACCTTAATAAACCTTTGGTTTCTGTTCTCCCTTAGTCGGATCGGTGAAGGACTTGAACAGGCCTTACCCTGTCTCAGGGAGCTCGTTCTTACCAACAATAACATTGCTGAATTGGTAAGCTATGAGTACTGAACGAATCTTAACAACCTTAAATTATATATGTATGCCATCTTTATAATAACCTTTTTCCTCTATTTAGAAAAATATCATATCATTTTAGTAGTAGTTGTGATGTATTTATTTTACAGAATATGATGTGTGGCATGCAGTGGAACAGTAGTTTCAAAATCTTAGTGGCTTTCCTGTTAAATTAATTGCAGTAATTCTAAAATGGATATGAGATTCTAGGAAGAGCTTTGAGAAAAGAGATTTCATTACTTTGTAATTAAATATTTTTAGCTCTAGTTTTGAACTGAAGAAGGAAAGTTTCTGATTTTCAAAAAAAAAAGTGAAATACTCTTTTAAAACTTATTTCAGGTCACTTATACCAAAGTAGGAATCTCAAGCACAGTATTTCTTACAGTCTCCCTTTGAGTTACATAATAGGTAACAAAGAGCATTCGTGTAACTTCTTTGTAACTGCATTGTTATACTCACAAAAGTTAGGCAGATCTGAGTCTTTTATGTAGAATTTGAACAGAGTTAATAGCTAGTATGTCTGCTTACAGTTTTCTATCTCTTACTTCCGCGTTAAGACTGAAGCTTACTTTGTTGCTGTTTCTTTTCTTTCATATTTTTTGAATGTATGTTTTTCATAGTGGCAGTCAAGACTCTTAAGGGCAGCTGGCTGTCTTAAATTGTGTACAGTGTAATTACTTGAAACATTATTGACTTAGTAGAGTTGTCACATCTAGTAGTACAAATACTCCTCTATTTGCCAGTGTTTTCAAAAAGTAAGCTTGAAATGAATGTGAGGGGGTTTTTTTTTGTCACTGCTTGTGTGTCAGAGTAAAGGCTGCTAAAATTTTAAGGACTTTGTTCTCATTAAATGGATTTAAGGTTTCGTACTGTTTTCCCATTATGTAGGGTGAACTGGATCCATTATCAACTATTAAAACGTTGACTTATCTGAGGTATGTAATCTTGAAAAGAAAAGCTATTCTTTCTGTACTCCCCTATTGGCCTAGCTCTTTATTTCAATCTGGAATGCTCTCCTTTTTCTGGGCTGGAACAGGTTCTTTATGCTTAAAAGTTGAATCAATGAACAGCTTTTCCCCTAGACTTCAGGAATACATGGTATTTCATGAGCAAGACTGTATATTACTGACAGACTGTAAAACGATGAGAAGGAGATGTTACGTTTCTATAAACTGATAGACAAGCACTGCAGTAAACTTCAGCTTTGAAAAAATAAAAACTACAGTTTTAAACTGTTATTACAAGTACTCTGAAATGCAGGTGACTTTTCAGTGCAAGGACTTTTCAGTGAGTAACATTACATTCAGCATGAGAGACAAAAAGAAAAAAAAAGACCCCCATCTGTCAATCCTACGATTGTTTTATTGATTCGTGTTTAGTTAGGAAGTGTGAGGGATTCATTATTTGTATTTTTAGAGATGTTTTGAGGTTGTTCTTTATGCTCTCCTGCAGCAAAATCCACTTAATTGTTAAAATACTTTAAACCTTTAAGTGCAAGTTTTCACTATAGTTTCCATAATATCAGAGAACACTGTTCCTATGCATATTTAATGACGTTATTTATTGTCTCTTATAGCAGAAGGTAAGTTAATGTATTTTAGGTATATTAATAAATTTTAATATAAATACCTTTTATTGTAATAAGAATTTTTTTATAATATTTATTTACTTTGTAGCATTTTAAGGAATCCTGTAACAAATAAGAAGCATTACAGATTGTATGTAATCCACAAAGTTCCTCAGGTCAGAGTGCTGGATTTTCAGAAAGTGAAACTCAAAGTAAGTCTGCTGTCTTCTGATTCGGCACAAGATGAAGACCTTTTTCTTGTTACAGTCTTGAAACTTCAGTGGTAACAATAAGTTTTTTTCCCATTGTAGTAAACTGTATCAAAACTAGGTATCACACGTGGCTCTAAAACATGCATTTCATTTTCTTTTACGGTTTCTTTCTGTTAAGGAGACAATCTGTTTAATTATGTCTTACTACCATTGATCGTTTAGTCTGACTCTTCTCTGGCCATCCAGTATTGCTGGTAGAAAGACAGACCTCTAGGGAAAGGAATGAGACATCGCAGGACAACACTCTGCTTT